AATATCTTGGGTAAACATTTTTCATCCTGGTGGATCGTAAGGGATTGAACTCAGTCTTGTGTGGGAGGGACCAACACCAGGGGACCCCATGAGAACCGGAAGCTCAGATGAGCCATAATGCGACAAGGTAACTTGCTGCAAGGGAAAAAAAGACAGTAGAATCTATCATACATGATTAAAAGGCGGAGCCCAGGAACTGGAACGCAACCCGCTCACCGACAGCGTGGTAAGCACACACACACACACACACACACACACACACACACACACACACACACACACACACACACAGAAAATGAAACAGACAGAGAGAAAGATCTAGGAGTTGATATCACACCAAACCTGTCTCCTGAAGCCCACATAAAGAGAATAACGTCTGCGGCATATGCGAGGCTGGCTAACATCAGAACGGCGTTCAGGAACCTGTGTAAGGAATCATTCAGAATCTTGTACACCACATATGTAAGACCAATCCTGGAGTATGCGGCCCCAGCATGGAGCCCGTACCTTGTCAAGCACAAGACGAAGCTGGAAAAAGTCCAAAGGTATGCTACTAGACTAGTCCCAGAACTAAGAGGCATGAGTTATGAGGAAAGGCTGCGGGAAATGCACCTCACGACACTGGAAGACAGAAGAGTAAGGGGGGACATGATCACAACCTACAAAATCCTCAGGGGAATCGACCGGGTAAACAAGGACGAACTTTTCAACACTGGTGGGACGCGAACAAGGGGACACAGGTGGAAGCTGAGTACCCAAATGAGCCACAGAGACGTTAGAAAGAACTTTTTCAGTGTCAGAGTAGTTAGCAAATGGAATGCATTAGGAAGTGATGTGGTGGAGGCTGACTCCATTCACAGTTTCAAATGTAGATATGATAGAGCCCAATAGGCTCAGGAATCTGTACACCAGTTGATTGACGGTTGAGAGGCGGGACCAAAGAGCCAGAGCTCAACCCCCGCAAGCACAATTAGGTGAGTACAATTAGGTGAGTACACACACACACACACACACACACACACACACACACACACACACACACACACATTACGACACAAGGTAACGTATGTGAACACAACGTTAATCATTTCACGTTTGTAACACAAAAAATATTTTTTCTCTGTTTACATATTCACCGACTTCAATTATTCAAGTAGCGGCCGTAACGCAGAGTAGAGGACATTAGTGTGGCGGGAAGTGCCAGGCTTGTGTGTGGCGGGAAGTGCCAGGCTTGTGTGTGGCGGGAAGTGCCAGGCTTGTGTGTGTGGCGGGAAGTGCCAGGCTTGTGTGTGGCGGGAAGTGCCAGGCTTGTGTGTGTGTGGAGGGAAGTGCCAGGCTTGTGTGTGTGGAGGGAAGTGCCAGGCTTGTGTGTGTGGAGGGGAGTGCCAGGCTTGTGTGTGTGGAGGGAAGTGCCAGGCTTGTGTGTGTGGAGGGAAGTGCCAGGCTTGTGTGTGTGGAGGGAAGTGCCAGGCTTGTGTGTGTGGAGGGGAGTGCCAGGCTTGTGTGTGTGTGGAGGGAAGTGCCAGGCTTGTGTGTGGCGGGAAGTGCCAGGCTTGTGTGTGTGGCGGGAAGTGCCAGGCTTGTGTGTGTGGCGGGAAGTGCCAGGCTTGTGTGTGTGGCGGGAAGTGCCAGGCTTGTGTGTGTGGCGGGAAGTGCCAGGCTTGTGTGTGGCGGGAAGTGCCAGGCTTGTGTGTGTGTGGCGGGAAGTGCCAGGCTTGTGTGTGTGTGGAGGGAAGTGCCAGGCTTGTGTGTGTGTGGAGGGAAGTGCCAGGCTTGTGTGTGGCGGGAAGTGCCAGGCTTGTGTGTGTGGCGGGAAGTGCCAGGCTTGTGTGTGTGGCGGGAAGTGCCAGGCTTGTGTGCGGCGGGAAGTGCCAGGCTTGTGTGTGTGTGGAGGGAAGTGCCAGACTTGTGTGTGGCGGGAAGTGCCAGGCTTGTGTGTGTGTGGAGGGAAGAGCCAGGCTTGTGTGTGGCGGGAAGTGCCAGGCTTGTGTGTGTGGAGGGAAGTGCCAGGCTTGTGTGTGTGAAGGGAAGTGCCAGGCTTGTGTGTGTGGAGGGAAGTGCCAGGATTGTGTGTGTGGAGGGAAGTGCCAGGCTTGTGTGTGTGTGGAGGGAAGTGCCAGGCTTGTGTGTGGCGGGAAGTGCCAGGCTTGTGTGTGTGGCGGGAAGTGCCAGGCTTGTGTGTGTGGCGGGAAGTGCCAGGCTTGTGTGTGTGTGGAGGGAAGTGCCAGGCTTGTGTGTGTGGAGGGAAGTGCCAGGCTTGTGTGTGTGGAGGGAAGTGCCAGGCTTGTGTGTGTGGAGGGGAGTGCCAGGCTTGTGTGTGTGGAGGGAAGTGCCAGACTTGTGTGTGGAGGGAAGTGCCAGGCTTGTGTGTGTGGAGGGAAGTGCCAGGCTTGTGTGTGTGGAGGGAAGTGCCAGGCTTGTGTGTGTGGAGGGAAGTGCCAGGCTTGTGTGTGTAGAGGGAAGTGCCAGGCTTGTGTGTGTAGAGGGAAGTGCCAGGCTTGTGTGTGTGGAGGGAAGTGCCAGACTTGTGTGTGGAGGGAAGTGCCAGACTTGTGTGTGGAGGGAAGTGCCAGGCTTGTGTGTGTGGAGGGAAGTGCCAGACTTGTGTGTGGAGGGAAGTGCCAGGCTTGTGTGTGTGGAGGGAAGTGCCAGGCTTGTGTGTGTGGAGGGAAGTGCCAGGCTTGTGTGTGTGGAGGGAAGTGCCAGACTTGTGTGTGGAGGGAAGTGCCAGACTTGTGTGTGGAGGGAAGTGCCAGGCTTGTGTGTGTGGAGGGAAGTGCCAGGCTTGTGTGTGTGGAGGGAAGTGCCAGACTTGTGTGTGGAGGGAAGTGCCAGGCTTGTGTGTGGAGGGAAGTGCCAGGCTTGTGTGTGTGGAGGGAAGTGCCAGGCTTGTGTGTGTGGAGGGAAGTGCCAGGCTTGTGTGTGGAGGGAAGTGCCAGGCTTGTGTGTGGAGGGAAGTGCCAGACTTGTGTGTGGAGGGAAGTGCCAGACTTGTGTGTGGAGGGAAGTGCCAGGCTTGTGTGTGTGTGGAGGGAAGTGCCAGACTTGTGTGTGGCGGGAAGTGCCAGGCTTGTGTGTGTGTGGAGGGAAGTGCCAGGCTTGTGTGTGGCGGGAAGTGCCAGGCTTGTGTGTGTGGAGGGAAGTGCCAGGCTTGTGTGTGTGGAGGGAAGTGCCAGGCTTGTGTGTGTGGAGGGAAGTGCCAGGATTGTGTGTGTGGAGGGAAGTGCCAGGCTTGTGTGTGTGTGGAGGGAAGTGCCAGGCTTGTGTGTGGCGGGAAGTGCCAGGCTTGTGTGTGTGGCGGGAAGTGCCAGGCTTGTGTGTGTGGCGGGAAGTGCCAGGCTTGTGTGTGTGTGTGGAGGGAAGTGCCAGGCTTGTGTGTGTGGAGGGAAGTGCCAGGCTTGTGTGTGTGGAGGGAAGTGCCAGGCTTGTGTGTGTGGAGGGAAGTGCCAGGCTTGTGTGTGTGGAGGGAAGTGCCAGACTTGTGTGTGGAGGGAAGTGCCAGGCTTGTGTGTGTGGAGGGAAGTGCCAGGCTTGTGTGTGTGGAGGGAAGTGCCAGGCTTGTGTGTGTGGAGGGAAGTGCCAGGCTTGTGTGTGTAGAGGGAAGTGCCAGGCTTGTGTGTGTAGAGGGAAGTGCCAGGCTTGTGTGTGTGGAGGGAAGTGCCAGACTTGTGTGTGGAGGGAAGTGCCAGACTTGTGTGTGGAGGGAAGTGCCAGGCTTGTGTGTGTGGAGGGAAGTGCCAGTCTTGTGTGTGGAGGGAAGTGCCAGGCTTGTGTGTGTGGAGGGAAGTGCCAGGCTTGTGTGTGTGGAGGGAAGTGCCAGGCTTGTGTGTGTGGAGGGAAGTGCCAGACTTGTGTGTGGAGGGAAGTGCCAGACTTGTGTGTGGAGGGAAGTGCCAGGCTTGTGTGTGTGGAGGGAAGTGCCAGGCTTGTGTGTGTGGAGGGAAGTGCCAGACTTGTGTGTGGAGGGAAGTGCCAGGCTTGTGTGTGGAGGGAAGTGCCAGGCTTGTGTGTGTGGAGGGAAGTGCCAGGCTTGTGTGTGTGGAGGGAAGTGCCAGGCTTGTGTGTGGAGGGAAGTGCCAGGCTTGTGTGTGGAGGGAAGTGCCAGACTTGTGTGTGGAGGGAAGTGCCAGACTTGTGTGTGGAGGGAAGTGCCAGGCTTGTGTGTGGAGGGAAGTGCCAGGCTTGTGTGTGGAGGGAAGTGCCAGGCTTGTGTGTGGAGGGAAGTGCCAGGCTTGTGTGTGGAGGGAAGTGCCAGGCTTGTGTGTGGAGGGAGGACCCGTCTAGACAAGTCCTACCATCACACTGCAGGGACCAGCCAGGTATAATTTACCATGGTATAGGTATAATACTCAGCTTTGCTGAGTATTATATATATACTATATATAATACTATAAATTATACTGAGTATAATACTCAGCTTTGCTGAGTATTAACAAGGAATGATCAATGACAGGAGAAGTTGCAAGAAGTCTTATTAATCTGAAAGACTGATCCGAGACCGATAACAGCGAGAGGTGGGGGGGGGGAGAATCGTGTGCAAGTCCCACTCATCTCCAGTGTATCATCATTGGGAGACAATGCTAAAGGTGGAAATGCATGAACGACAAGGCCGAAATGCTGACACTACCAACATAGTTTGTGAAGTGTAAGTGACAACAAAGACATTGGGGACAAGGTATTGGAGGAATGACAGTTGAAAGGCTGGAGTCCAGAAGCTGAAGCTCTGCTCTCGCTCTGACACACACACACACACACTGACACACACACACTGACACACACACTGACACACTGACACACACACACACACACACACACACACAGCTCAGGAACCTGTACACCAGTTGATTGGCGGGACCAAAGAGCCAAAGCTCAACCCCCGCAAACACAACTAGGTGAGTACAATTAGGTGAGTACACACACACACACACACACACACACACACACACACACACACACAGTGTTCAGTTGGGAAGTAATATCAGTGAGAGACGAAGACTTACTAGTGACGAGGAGTCGTCGCCGTGGTCCTGGTCGTCCAGAGCGGTGACACCACCACACACCGGAGTCGGCGGAGACGGCGTGAGACATCACCACACGACCTGTCCACATGATGCTCACTCTCAGGTCACCCAACACCTGCAACACACATACACACACACATGTCCCAACACGGGTCACAACAGGTCAGTACTGGTCACCACGGGAGCCGGTCGGCCGAGCGGACAGCACGCTGGACTTGTGATCCTGTGGTCCTGGGTTCGATCCCAGGCGCCGGCGAGAAACAATGGGCAGAGTTTCTTTCACCCTATGCCCCTGTTACCTAGCAGTAAAATAGGTACCTGGGTGTTAGTCAGCGGTCACGGGCTGCTTCCTGGGGGTGGAGGACACTAAAAAAGCCCCGAAATCATCTCAAGATAACCTCAAGATAACCACACCCCCCCTTCCCGCACGCCACTGTATTTCACCACAGGTCACCACAGGTCACCAGAATCAGAGGCTAGAGGGGGGGGGGGAGAGAGGCCGTAACATTCTTGCCATTTCTTACGACTCATAAAATGTTTGGTAAAAGGAAAGCGTCGAGGAAGAAATGTGTGAAGGTTGTGTTTCCTGACTGTATATTGGTCCTGTCACCCGCAGTCATCGCCTGTCGCTCCGGACCTGGCAACACTGTTTATCATCTCTTCGTCGGCCCCCAGCGCCTCCAGTCATTCCCAAGTGAGCGCCTCCAACACCCCACGACCCGGACGGACTGTTTTATGACTGTGGGTCGGGCTTCAATACCAACAATCACTCGAGACTGTCTTCCCATGTATTGTCTCAATGTCCGCTACTCATGTGGAGCCCAATAACGTTACGTACTGAAACTAGTTCCGTTATCTTATCTTGAGTTATCTTGAGATGATTTCGGGGCTTTTAGTGTCCCCGCGGCCCGGTCCTCGACCAGGCCTCCACCCCCAGGAAGCAGCCCGTGACAGCTGACTAACACCCAGGTACCTAATTTACTGCTAGGTAACAGGGGCACAGGGTGAAAGAAACTCTGCCCATTGTTTCTCGCCGGCGCCTGGGATCGAACCCAGGACCACAGGATCACAAGTCCCGCGTGCTGTCCGCTCGGCCGACCGGCTCCCTATGACCGGTTCCAGTCATTTATGCTAACTAGAGGCTGATTGTGTTATACGGCTGTGTCACAGTCAAGTCAGCGAAGACATAAGGCACCGTGTCACAAGAGTAACCTTGAGTAACCAAGAGTAACGCAAAGTAACCTTGGTGTTACTTTGCGGTAATTACGAGCATGAATGTCCTGGTGGACGGTCTCTAACCAGGCCTCCGGGTGAGTGCAGGGGTTAGTTAACTAGGGTGTTGGGCGGAGCTTCCGGCAGTCTGTAGTGTGAACTGCAGCCCGGTTGGTGAGGTATCTTAGCAAGGGTGTTTCCAACCTGGTGTCCCCGTCAGTCACTCTCACCAGCATGACGTGTGAGAGTGTGTCCCCGTCAGTCACTCTCACCAACATGACGTGTGAGAGTGTGTCCCCGTCAGTCACTCTCACCAACATGACGTGTGAGAGTGTGTCCCCCCGTCAGTCACTCACCAGCATGACGTGTGAGAGTGTCCCCGTCAGTCACTCTCACCAGCATGACGTGTGAGAGTGTCCCCGTCAGTCACTCTCACCAGCATGACGTGTGAGAGTGTGTCCCCCCGTCAGTCACTCACCAACATGACGTGTGAGAGTGTGTCCCCCCGTCAGTCACTCACCAACATGACGTGTGAGAGTGTGTACCCCCGTCAGTCACTCACCAACATGACGTGTGAGAGTGTGTCCCCCCGTCAGTCACTCACCAACATGACGTGTGAGAGTGTGTCCCCCCGTCAGTCACTCACCAACATGACGTGTGAGAGTGTGTCCCCCCGTCAGTCACTCACCAACATGACGTGTGAGAGTGTGTCCCCCCGTCAGTCACTCACCAACATGACGTGTGAGAGAGAGGTCACAGAACATATCCCAACATAAGAATGAGATAATACGGAGACCACATATGCAGGATAGAGAGCCCAGGCTTGAGACACAGCAGTACACAAAGAGAGAGAGAGCAGGAACAACATATGCACAATGGGCGGACGTAAGAACAGTCTTTAGAATAGTGAGGCAAGAATCCACACCTCACGAAGCACACAAGAATCTGAGAAGATCCAAAAAAGATGCTGCGATACCGATACAGGATATGAGAGACCTGAGCTACGAGGACAGGATAAAGAGGATTGAACCAAAAATCAAGGAGAACTAGAGGAGACATGGTCATGATATACAAGATACCGAGAGATACTGACAATAGACAAAAGGCAGACTGTTCCAGATGAGAAATAGGATAAGGAAGTACTCATTCAGTACACAAGAGTACACAGTATGGGATGCACTGTGTAATCAATCTACAGCTTGCAAAGCAGATACGAGTGGCAAGAGATGGCAAGTTATGTTGCACAAAGATGCCTTAAGGCAAGAAACATGCCCTGGAGGACCCTTCAGACCTGTCAACACTCCCAAGTGAGCACACTCCATCAAGTACATAATAACACGGAACACACTCCACGGTGCTCAACACGGACGGACGCTAACACACACAAATGATATGAGAGAACTTCTGCTTTAGACTTGTACATAAAAGGAATGTTTTCGACCAAGTGGGTCAAACTAACTCAGTATACAAATTGACAACATATATAATAAATAGCAGCACAGAATAGTCCTTGCCTTAAACTGAGCGCTATTACTTTATAAGGTGGGACTTGGGAGCTAACACTTGACCTGCACACTCTCCCTCTGGGCAAGCGTAGGTGTAGGGAAATGAAGGTAGTGAAGTTAAACTCCAGTATACTCGGAGTATACCTAGCGTGGCTGCTAGGAGTTATACTCCCAGCTTGATAACAGCCTCGACTTGTGATAACTCTCTTGCTTAGAGCGAGCCTGTGGCCGCTCCAAGCAACAGCCTGGTGGACCAAACTCTGACTAGTCAAGCCTGACCTCGGGCCGAGCAACAGAAGAACTCCCAGAACTCCATCAAGCAGGCCCGCCGACCCACATAGCCACTTGTGACAGGAACGTGTCTATTGTCACCTAGAACACGTCCATTGTTGTACTGTCAATATTAAGTTTGCTGGGAGGATACTGAATACTCGTGTACTCTATACATCGCAGGCGCTGCGCTAGAGGACGACATGTTGGCGTGTTCACAAACCGGAACAATTAGTGAGCCCCTACAATGCAGTTGGAGAGCGGACAGAGGTAGTTATAGACAGTGTTGTAACGAGCCAGCAGTGATGAATCGGGCTGGGAAATACGACAGGAATTTCTGGTGCGATATGTGAAAAACAGAACTCAGAGACGAGGGGTCGAGCCTCACTTTAGTAGGAAGAGGGGGAGTCCTCGAGTCAGTGGATGTCGAATGGCGGTGGATAAGATCGCTTCAGCAACGCAAGGCAGGCAAGCAAGCAAGGCTTGCCTCGGCTAGGATTAGCTAGGATTGGCTGGGCTGAGCGCGACTGGAGCTCTCCCCCTGGACACACGTGTTGTCGGCTACAGTGGTACCTCCACAAATGTGCGCCTCAAAACCACAACTGTAGTGGCTTCAGAAACACGCTCCACACACATACAATTATAGTTAAGTGAGAAGCTACAAACAAGAGAGATAAAACTGCTCGCTCTCTCTCGCTCTAGCTCTCTCTCGCTCTCTAAATTACCAAAACGCCCAACACTCGCCGTAACTAAAGAAAGATTCACTAAAGGAATCCAATGTACTGAACAAAAATTCACACAAATTCAAAGACCACTTGTCACGGAGCCCAAAAAAATATTAGAGAGCGACAAAAATATACGCAAAGCCCCCAACAAAAAGTGGTGGTGGTAGAAAAGGTCGGGGCTAAAGAAAACCATCTTCCTCGCTGACGGTAATGGGCTAAATAACGAGAAAAGTGTAGCTTGGTGTTCAGTCGTTCAGCTCAGGGGAGAGGTGGTATCTCCAACACGATAGTAGTAATAGGCATCCATCCATCAGTCACCCATCCAACACGATAGTAGTAATAGGCATCCATCCATCCGTCATCCAACCAACACCATACAACCACGTAATAGTCAACAAAGTTCATTTAGTAGTCTTCGTGGTAAACATGTGTCCTCTCTGAGTACTATCCTCCCCCCCCCTAGGGTAATGTCCTCTCCCCAGCCAGGGGTACTGTACTTCTTCCCCCTCCTCCCCCCCCCATCAAGGGTGGGGGTACTGCCCCAATACTCTCCCTCGTCACACGACACAGACACTAATACTGGTGTCCTAGCTTCATCCTTCGCGGACACCACACTAACACACTCAAGACACCACCACCACCTCCTGAGGACACCACACTAACACACTCAAGACACCACCACCACCTCCTGAGGACACCACACTAACACACTCAAGACACCACCACCACCTCCTGAGGACACCACACTAACACACTCAAGACACCACCACCACCTCCTGAGGACACCACACTAACACAGTCAAGACACCACCACCTCCTCCTGAGGACACCACACTAACACACTCAAGACACCACCACCACCACCTGAGAACACCACACTAACACACTCAAGACACCACCACCACCTCCTGAGGACACCACACTAACACACTCAAGACACCACCACCACCACCTGAGAACACCACACTAACACACTCAAGACACCACCACCACCACCTGAGGACACCACACTAACACACTCAAGACACCACCACCACCACCTGAGGACACCACACTAACACACTCAAGACACCACCTCCACCACCACCTGAGAACACCACACTAACACACTCAAGACACCACCACCACCACCTGAGAACACCACACTAACACACTCAAGACACCACCACCACCACCTGAGAACACCACACTAACACACTCAAGACACCACCACCTCCTCCTGAGAACACCACACTAACACACTCAAGACACCACCACCACCACCTCCTGAGAACACCACACTAACACACTCAAGACACCACCACCTCCTCCTGAGAACACCACACTAACACACTCAAGACACCACCACCACCACCTCCTGAGAACACCACACTAACACACTCAAGACACCACCACCACCACCTCCTGAGAACACCACACTAACACACTCAAGACACCACCACCACCTCCTGAGGACACCACACTAACACACTCAAGACACCACCACCACCTCCTGAGAACACCACACTAACACACTCAAGACACCACCACCACCACCACCTGAGGACACCACACTAACACACTCAAGACACCACCACCTCCTCCTGAGGACACCACACTAACACACTCAAGACACCACCACCACCACCTGAGGACACCACACTAACACACTCAAGACACCACCACCTCCTCCTGAGGACACCACACTAACACACTCAAGACACCACCACCACCTCCTGAGAACACCACACTAACACACTCAAGACACCACCACCACCACCACCTCCTGAGGACACCACACTAACACACTCAAGACACCACCACCTCCTCCTGAGGACACCACACTAACACACTCAAGACACCACCACCACCACCTGAGGACACCACACTAACACACTCAAGACACCACCACCTCCTCCTGAGGACACCACACTAACACACTCAAGACACCACCACCACCACCTGAGGACACCACACTAACACACTCAAGACACCACCACCACCACCTGAGGACACCACACTAACACACTCAAGACACCACCACCACCTCCTGAGGACACCACACTAACACACTCAAGACACCACCACCACCACCTGAGGACACCACACTAACACACTCAAGACACCACCACCACCACCTGAGGACACCACACTAACACACTCAAGACACCACCACCACCACCTGAGGACACCACACTAACACACTCAAGACACCACCACCTGAGGACACCACACTGAGGACACCACACTAACACACTCAAGACACCACCACCACCACCTGAGGACACCACACTAACACACTCAAGACACCACCACCTGAGGACACCACACTAACACACTCAAGACACCACCACCACCTGAGGACACCACACTAACACACTCAAGACACCACCACTACCACCTGAGGACACCACACTAACACACTCAAGACACCACCACCTGAGGACACCACACTAACACACTCAAGACACCACCACCACCACCTGAGGACACCACACTAACACACTCAAGACACCACCACACCACCACCTGAGGACACCACACTAACACACTCAAGACACCACCACCACCTCCTGAGGACACCACACTAACACACTCAAGACACCACCACCACCACCTGAGGACACCACACTAACACACTCAAGACACCACCACCACCACCTGAGGACACCACACTAACACACTCAAGACACCACCACCACCACCTGAGGACACCACACTAACACACTCAAGACACCACCACCACCACCTGAGGACACCACACTAACACACTCAAGACACCACCACCACCACCTGAGGACACCACACTAACACACTCAAGACACCACCACCACCACCTGAGGACACCACACTAACACACTCAAGACACCACCACCACCTCCTGAGGACACCACACTAACACACTCAAGACACCACCACCACCACCTGAGGACACCACACTAACACACTCAAGACACCACCACCACCTCCTGGGGACACCACACTAACACACTCAAGACACCACCACCACCACCTGAGGACACCACACTAACACACTCAAGACACCACCACCACCTCCTGGGGACACCACACTAACACACTCAAGACACCACCACCACCACCTGAGGACACCACACTAACACACTCAAGACACCACCACCACCTCCTGAGGACACCACACTAACACACTCAAGACACCACCACCACCACCTGAGGACACCACACTAACACACTCAAGACACCACCCACCACCTGAGGACACCACACTAACACACTCAAGACACCACCACACTAAGGACACCACACTAACACACTCAGACACCACCACCACCACCTGAGGACACCACACTAACACACAAGACACCACCACCACCTCCTGACACCACACTAACACACTCAAGACCCACCACCACCTGAGGACACCACACTAACACACTCAAGACACCACCACCACCTCCTGAGGACACCACACTAACACACTCAAGACACCACCACCACCTGAGGACACCACACTAACACACTCAAGACACCACCACCACCACCTGAGGACACCACACTAACACACTCAAGACACCACCACCACCTGAGGACACCACACTAACACACTCAAGACACCACCACCACCACCTGAGGACACCACACTAACACACTCAAGACACCACCACCACCACCTGAGGACACCACACTAACACACTCAAGACACCACCACCACCACTGAGGACACCACACTACCACACTCAAGACACACCACCACCACCTGAGGACACCACACTAACACACTCAAGACACCACCACCACCACCTGAGGACACCACACTAACACACTCAAGACACCACCACCACCACCTGAGGACACCACACTAACACACTCAAGACACCACCACCACCACCTGAGGACACCACACTAACACACTCAAGACACCACCACCACCACCTGAGGACACCACACTAACACACTCAAGACACCACCACCACCACCTGAGGACACCACACTAACACACTCAAGACACCACCACCACCACCTGAGGACACCACACTAACACACTCAAGACACCACCACCACCTCCTGAGGACACCACACTAACACACTCAAGACACCACCACCACCACCTGAGGACACCACACTACACCACACTAACACACTCAAGACACCACCACCACCACCTGAGGACACCACACTAACACACTCAAGACACCACCACCACCAACCTGAGGACACCACACTAACACACTCAAGACACCACCACCACCACCTGAGGACACCACACTAACACACTCAAGACACCACCACCACCACCTGAGGACACCACACTAACACACTCAAGACACCACCACCACCACCTGAGGACACCACACTAACACACTCAAGACACCACCACCACCACCTGAGGACACCACACTAACACACTCAAGGACACCACCACCACCACCTGAGGACACCACACTAACACACTCAAGACACCACCACCACCACCTGAGGACACCACACTAACACACTCAAGACACCACCACCACCACCTGAGGACACCACACTAACACACTCAAGACACCACCACCACCTCCTGGGGACACCACACTAACACACTCAAGACACCACCACCACCACCTGAGGACACCACACTAACACACTCAAGACACCACCACCACCTCCTGAGGACACCACACTAACACACTCAAGACACCACCACCACCACCTGAGGACACCACACTAACACACTCAAGACACCACCTAACACACCAAGACACCACCACCCACCTGAGGACACCACACTAACACACTCAAGACACCACCACCACCACCAGAGGACACCACACTAACCACACTCAACACCACCACCACCTCTTGAGGACACCACACTAACACACTCAAGACACCACCACCACCTGAGGACACCACACTAACACACTCAAGACACCACCACCTCCACCTGGGGACACCACACTAACACACTCAAGACACCACACTGAGGACACCACACTAACATACTCAAGACACCACCACATCCTCTGAGGACACCACACTAACACACTCAAGACACCACCACCACCACCTGAGGACACCACACTAACACACTCAAGACACCACCACCACCACCTGAGGACACCACACTAACACACTCAAGACACCACCACCACCACCTGAGGACACCACACTAACACACTCAAGACACCACCACCACCACCTGAGGACACCACACTAACACACTCAAGACACCACCACCACCACCTGAGGACACCACACTAACACACTCAAGACAACCCACACCACCACCTGAGGACACCACACTAACACACTCAAGACACCACCACCACCAACCTGAGGACACCACACTAACACACTCAAGACACCACCACCACCACCTGGGGACACCACACTAACACACTCAAGACACCACCACCACCACCTGGGGACACCACACTAACACACTCAAGACACCACCACCACCTCCTGAGGACACCACACTAACACACTCAAGACACCACCACCACCTCCTGAGGACACCAATCAATCAATCTCCCGGTGACCAGCATCATCATGCAAAGGAATAATAAATACAAAATAAACTATATTAAATACAGTATTAAACATATTAAACCCTCGTCATAAGGAGAGGAACCGCAGTAGTAAATAAGCAACAGAATGCAAAACACAGGTAGAAATAGCCTAAGCTACTCTATCCCTTTGAGATGTATTTCTTGCTTATCTCAATAAACATACTTGAACTTGAATGTTAGAACGTATGTTAACTAATGTTTCAGGGAATTATCATACAGGTAGAAGAGTGTTTAATAGTTATACTCTAAGTATATCACCAGCCTTAAAAACAAGATACGTAATGGATATTATAACAAAATCAATGAGCAGCTGTAACACCTGTAGACCATATTGTCACTGACCTGAGTGCCGTCGTGGAACCAGCGGACCTCGCCCTCGACGCTGTCATCTCCAGGGATGGGCTTGACGTGGTCGGCGACCTCACACTCGAGAACGACTTCCTGTCCCCGCACTACCAACACCTCCTCCAAGCCCAGACTCGGGTCAACCACGTCGTCGAGGAGCAGGTCGCCGGGAGGGAGTGTGGTGGTGGTGTTGGCCGGACCCTCACCGCCGCCCTCCCGCCCTCCACTGTGACGCAGGTATCGCATATCTGTTGACACACACGCCAAGTGCAATTCTTTTATCATACACGATACTAAAGGGTACAATACTCCCTATCTATCCCTTCCCTCCTAGAGTAGCCTATCTATCCCTTCCCTCCTACAGTAGCCTATCTATCCCTTCCCTCCTACAGTAGCCTATCTATCCCTTCCCTCCTACAATAGCCTATCTATCCCTTCCCTCCTACAATAGCCTATCTATCCCTTCCCTCCTACAATAGCCTATCTATCCCTTCCCTCCTACAATAGCCTATCTATCCCTTCCCTCCTACAATAGCCTATCTATCCCTTCCCTCCTACAGTAGCCTATCTATCCCTTCCCTCCTACAGTAGCCTATCTATCCCTTCCCTCCTACAGTAGCCTATCTATCCCTTCCATCCTACAGTAGCCTATCTATCCCTTCCCTCCTACAATAGCCTATCTATCCCTTCCCTCCTACAATAGCCTATCTATCCCTTCCCTCCTACAGTAGCCTATCTATCCCTTCCCTCCTACAGTAGCCTATCTATCCCTTCCCTCCTACAATAGCTTTAATAAGATTTTGGTTATTTTGTTTTTATTAACACATTTTAGGTAATTCTGTATTTGTACAACTACCCTAGACTATATGAAGGGGAGTTCAGGCTGTCAAAAACTAGCTACGTGATGTTAAAAGTCCCCCACTTCTCACATAGTGTATCCAAAAGTCTAAGGCGAAAAAAAAACATATCACTAAACTTTATTTAAGATTTAAATGGTAATTATCATGATTAGATTCATATTTTTATTTTGACGTGATGGGCACAAAGTTTTAAGGTATGGTAAACAAGTCAGAGACGAGTCAATGTTATAGCAAGATTTTTGTGTAGGGGGGGAGTCACTTAGCACAGTGTCGTGTGGAACTGTTTTTTTTTTTCGTCTTTGATGCCAATCCCAACCTGCCCATTTTGGGCACGTACCCAACAGGAATTACTTGAAAAAAACGAAGGTTGTAGCACTAAGGCTACAACATTGAGGAGACAGATGGTCAGACACAGGAACGGACATTTTCAATGTGTGTGTGTGTGTGTGGGGGGGGGGGGTGTAATTACCTAAGTGTAGTTACAGGATGAGAGTTACGCTCGTGGTGTCCCGTCTTCCCAGCACTCTTTGTCATATAATGTTTTGAAATTACTGACGGTTTTGGCCTCCACCACCTTCTCACCTAACTTGTTCCAACCGTCTACCACTCTATTTACAAAAGAATGAATGTGTGTGTGTGTGTGTGTGTGTGTGTGTGTGTGTGTGTGTGTGTGTGTGTGTGTGTGTGTGTGTGTGTGTGTAGAAAGTTATTTAATGTTAAATAAACAACATTTATTTCATAAGACTAAGCAATTCCCCATTTCAGTAAATATATACAAGCCCTGAAAGATGATAACACTTACGAGCAAAATGAGAGTTAAGTACATTAAAATCTCTCCTTTGAACATTGTAAGTTATACTAAAATTATAGAACAACATTTTCTGTGGTGAAATTATATTTGCATATATCAGCTGACTGTTACAACTTCTCAACAATACCCCCTCCCACCTTCAGAGGATCACACACTCAGAACACCTCCCCACAGGGCCGCTCAGAACCCCCCCCCTCCCGCAAATACTCACCATCCCAACCAGGGGCCAGATTCACGAAAGAACTTAAGCAAACACTTACGAACGTGTACATCTTTCCTCAATCTTTGACGGCTTTGGTTACATTTATTAAACAGTTTACAAGCATGAAAACCTCCCATTCAACTGTTGTTATAAACAGCCTCCTGGTGCTTCGGAGCTCATTAACCGTTTAATAATTGTAAACAAAGCCGCCAGAGATTGAGAAAAGATGTACAGGTTCGTAGGTGTTTGCGTAACTGCTTTCGTGAATCTGGCCCCCAGGACCCTCCTTACCTTGAGGTTACCTTGAGGTGATTTCCCGGCTTAGCGACCCCGCGGCCCGGTCAACCAGGCCTCCTCGTTGCTGGACTGGTCAACCAGGCTGTTGGAGGCGGCTGTACCCCCTTCACAGGAACAAGCGACAGAGTAGGACAAAGGTAAGCAAGGGTCGCGATAGGACAGGTACAGTGGTATTACAAATATTCTCAAGTTACAGATCGCGAAGATAAAAACCAAGCAAAAATATGCAAAATGTAAAGAGAAGGAAAGAGAAGGGAAGAGAAGGGAAGAGAAGGGAAGAGAAGGGAAGAGAAGGGAAGAGAAGGGAAGGGTTCCATTACATACACAGCGAGGGACCCGCGTTACTGCTCGACCCCCGCCAGAGAGAGCGGCCAGCAACACTAACTAGACAGCCGGGCTTCTTAAACAAAGGCCCAAAGTCCATTCCATCCACCCGCCAAACCCCCTGTTTATGAATGAAAACTGTTTACACACACACACACACGACTCACAACTAATGTCGTTCAAACACTTCCGGAACAGACGACTTTTGTTCGAACCACAACTCTATGAATGCTTCACCCACGTACTATAAATACTCGCCAACAGAACCTAAACACCTAACCTAACCTATGCCTGTATATACACAATATGCTAATATATATTACTATTAATTTATATTTGAGAAAAGTTCTGTTTTGAATGAACAGAATGTTAAAATTGATGAATGCGTCTTTGGGGTCGACCGCTGGATGGAATGGACTTAGTCTGAGGACGGGTTGAACTAGAGAAACTGTGTGTGGCTCTTATACAGGTTATTGCAGTAATGTTGGCCTAATGATTGTTGTTGTTTAAGATTCGCTACTTGAAACAAAACGTTGCAAGTAGCACGGGCTATGGTGAGCCCGTTATGGACTTACCTGGCACAGGAGCGGGGCAAGTAGCACGGGCTATGGTGAGCCCGTAGTGGACTTACCTGGCACAGGAGCGGGTCTGTAACTGTGGCCTAATGAGCCACTTGCACGATTATAGCCGACTTTTCCTACTCCGGTGAAGTTATAAATTGTGGGCATAACATTATTATTATTATTATTATTATTATTTTCTCTTCGATATTCCAAGCACTGTCTTTGTGCATTTATATACTATATTTACTGGTGTATAAATCTTAACTAATGGCAAAGGTGTTTTGTTCAAGATAAATAATAGCATCCTTGATGCGCCTTACCACTGGACCACATTATGCTAAAGGTTACTCCGCCTGGAGCCAGATTCACGAAGCAGTTACGCAAGCACTTACGAATGTGTACAACTTTTCTCAATCTTTGGCGGCTTTGTTTACAATTATTAAACAGTTAATAAGCTCCGAAGCACCAGGAAGCTGTCTATAACAATAATAACAGTTGAGTGGGAAGGTTTCATGCTTGTAAACTGTTTAATAAATGTAACCAAAGCCGTCAAAGATTGAGGAAAGATGAACACGTTCGTAAGTAATTGCGTAACTGCTTCGTGAATCTGACTCCCTGGTTCGAATCTGTCGTCGTGCCCCAAACGTTTGTCAAGTTCAAGTACGCTGATTGAGACAATAAAACACATCTCAAAGCTATAGAGTAGCTTAGGCTATTTTGATGACCAGACCACATCCTAGAAGGTGAAGGGACGACGACGTTTCGGTCCGTCCTGGACCATTCTCAAGTCAATTGTGAATGAGAATGGTCCAGGACGGACCGAAACGTCGTCGTCCCTTCACCTTCTAGTGTGTGGTCTGGTCAACACGTATTGATGGTCTCTCTCGGGACGATGGTCTCTTTCACCCCCTTGTCTGGCTCAGAGTATTCAACTAGTTGTGCTGGTCGAGCTTCAGCTCTTGGACCTCGTCTCTAATAATTTAACTGGCTTTTATAGGTCTCTCAGCATTTTGTACACTATACACATCTAAGGGCTGACACGGATGTGGTGGTGCCCAGGGTGCATGACGCTGTGACTCATACGTCAGGCTGCGAGCAGCCGCGTCTAACAGCCTGGTTGATCAGTCCAGCAACCAGGAGGCCTGGTCGACGACCGGGCCGCGGGGACACTAAGCCCCGGAAGCACCTCAAGGTAAGGTAGGGTAGGTACGTCGCTCCCTGACGTAGATGTCAGGAAGTGCCAGACCACAACAGCAGTGCCAGCCTGACATGTCACCACAAGCGCGGGTTATATTAGCGAGAATATTGGCGCTGCCTAAAGAACCTAATGAACAGATTTAACAAATACGATCACCAGAGCTGCCAGACGTATGACCTGCATAAAAATGAGTGGTTGGTGCAGTTGGCGACAGTGGAGCCTGGGCCCGCTGGTGGACGGAGCGCTAGTGAGGCTACGGTCTCTGGACGCTACACAACCGTATATCATGCCATGATTATCAGGAGAGTTAGTACGCCGGAGAGCAGACTAACTCGCTTCATTCAACAGAGAATTCCCCCTGAGACTTCTGGCAGCGTCCATTACGTCAGATAAGGGATATGAAAGTGTAATGTGGGAATATTGGCGAGAACGGCTGGTAATCTGTAAGGCGGGAGCCGCCGTGCTGGTAGCTGCACCAACACCCACCACCGTGCTGGTGTAGCTACCAGCAGCCACCACACCACCACCGTGCTGGTGCACCTACCAGCTACCACCACACCACCGTGCTGGTGCAGCTACCACCACACCACCGTGCTGGTGCAGCTACCAGCACCCACCACCACCACCACCACCGTGCTGGTGCAGCTACCACCACCCACCACACTGGTGCAGCTACCAGCACCCACCACACCACCACCGTGCTAGTGCAGCTACCACCACCACCACCGTGCTAGTGCAGCTACCACCACCACCACCGTGCTGGTGCAGCTACCACCACCACCACACCACCACCCTCACAACCACGCAACATGAATGAAGTTTCGGTGAGCGTCAAGCTAAGATCCTTCGTTCCGTCGCGTGCAATTTAGCTCTTGTGAAATCTGGTTGATGATGGAAGCGACGGGATATCCCAGCTTTCTGAGGGATATCCCAGCTTCCGTCGGGACAGACAGGCTTACTTGGACCCTCCGCCTCGACTTGGTCTAATCCCTGGCTGGTAAAGTTTGGTGGTGGTGGGGGGGAGAGGCGGGTCTCTTCCTCACTTCTGCCTCTTGCTCTGATTTGAGATTGGAATAATGGCGTAGATGTTTCTTGAGCTGATTCTTGGTGTCACCCCGGGGGAGGGGGGGGGGGGGAAGACGTGCCTGTAACATCGGCATTGTGGCATTCTGGTGAGTTACGAGAGGTCAGAATGTGTGTGGACGTCAGTATTCAAGATGGTGATTACAACCCAGGAGACACACTGCTCCAGCATCATTCCACCTGTTATGTAGGCGGATCACTGGCGGAACGGTACACGTGTTGTGCAGCAATTATTACCCCTGTGGTATTTTTTGTACACCAAGGTAACTCGTCAATGTGAGTATTTACGATTACTCCTGTTAGGTCTACGTGGAGGTGTCCCTGTTGTGTGACAAAGCCTGGGTCAACACCTAGACTCACCTGGGGACAATGGGTGTACTCACCTGTGGCCTGGATGATGGCAGGGTGACCTAGGAGGAGGAGGAAGAGGCCCAGGAGCCAGCGGGAACCGCCCATGCTGCACTCCACCCATCACACGCCTGGGGAAGACAACAACAGTGTTAGTGCCCCTTCCTACACCCCCATCACTGGACTACGTCCACGTCCGCACACGCGGCAGTACCTGGTTACCTGGTTGATACCTGGTTGATGGGGTTCTGGGATATAATAACTCCTCGCGCCACCACGAGGCATGGCAGGATGTGCACAATAGCACCAGTGGAAGCCAGTAGTGCAATAGGTACGCTGAGAGAGAGAGAATCCTATCAACATCAAGGACCCAAGATTTCAACACACACCCTCTATACATGTTTCACCACTTGGGTTGGATGGTAGAGCGACGCTTTCGCTTCATGCAGGTCGGCGTTCAATCCCCGACCGTCCAAGGGATTGGGCTCCATTCCTACCTCCGTCCCAACGCAAATCCTTATATTGACATCCCTTCTAAGTGCTATATAGTCGTAATGGCTTGGTGCTTTGATAATTCCCTCCTTCCATCCCTCAACCCTTAAGGGACATAACTGACCGACCTCTCACGGCATTCAAGAGAGAACTTGGTGATAACTGTTCATCCAGGATTTAATTCCTACGTAAGACTGCGAACAGACGCATCTAACAACCTTGTTGACCCGACTACTAAACCAGGTGTCAGAGACAGGGCCGCGGGGAAACTGATCCTGGGAATTACCTCAAGGTAAAGCGAGGTATGTGTAACTAACACAAACAGTGAAACCACGCTACGCCTGGAGGCGTTTTTCGTCGATTTCTGGACGATTAACGAGCCCAGGAAATATTATATATAGCAACAGTGTAAATGAATATTTCGCGTATCGATAACCCACATAAAGGTCATTTATGTGAGGTCAAAGGTGTAGAGTATTTTAGTGTCAAATATTGGCGGTGAGGGTTATCTTCTTGAGATTATCTTGAGATGATTTCGGAGCTATAGTGTCCCCGCGGCCCGGTCTTCGACCAGGCCTCCACCCCCAGGAAGCAGCCCTGGGGGTGGAGGCCCCTTTCACCCTATGCCCCTAGGTAACAGGGGCATAGGGTGAAAGAAACTCTGCCCATTGTTTCTCGCCGGCGCCCGGGATCGAACCCGGGGCCACAGGATCACAAATCCAGTGTGCTGTCCGCTCGGCTGACCGACTGGTAACCGAAGGGTTACCAGTGTTTGTTTACACACACACACACACACACACACACACACACACACACACACACACACACACACACACACACACACACACACACACACACACACACACACACACACACACACACACACACACACACAACCAGGAAATAACACATTTTTTCATTAATATACATTGCCATTTATTCAGCTGCCCTAAACTATACGAAGGGTTGTATAGTTTGTGAAACTAAAAATACACATTTCGTCCGTCATGTAGGGTCATGTGATCAGCCGTCTGCACTGGAGAACTTCCCATGTCTTATCACGATGCTCTCAAGAACATCTCTCAAGAGTGAATAAAGTAATTGCAAAGCCCCAGGTACCTCATCCCGTGTGTGTGTAGTTGTATTCACCTACTTGTGCTTGCGGGGGTTGAGCTCTGCTCTTTCGGCCCGCCTCTCAACTGTCAATCAACTGCTGTTTCTAATACTACTACTAATTTTTTTTCCATCCCACACACACACATCCCAGGAAGCAGCCCGTGACAGCTGACTAACTCCCAGGTACCTATTTACTGCTAGGTAACAGGGGCATAGGGTTTAAGAAACTCTGTTCATCGTTTCTCGCCGGCGCCCGGGATCGAACCCGGAACCACAGGATCACATGGCCAGCGTGCTGTCCGGTCGGCCACCGGCTCCCCTGTGTGTGTGTGTGTGTGTGTGTGTGTGTGTGTGTGTGTGTGTGTGTGTGTGTGTGTGTGTGTGTGTGTAAGTATTCATTGTGAAAATGAAACGAAAATGCCGAACGTTTTCGTATTTCATATTATCGAGGAAATCTGTAAATTCCTCGATAATGTGGTGAAAAAAAGAAAGCATTCGGAATTGTATTAGAATTTTTCTTGTGAATACTTATGCATAACCGAATCACGTGTTTTTTTGTGATTATTCTTGCATGTGAAAATGGAGAGAGAGAGAGAATCAAATTTAAGACATGTCCTAACTTGTTATACCAGTCTTCTCGGGCCGTTGAAAATGTAATTCCTCTCCTATCAGAGCTGAATGTTTGGAACAATAAAGGCTTAACAACATAGCTGGGGATACCTAGACCTAGTACAACTTCATCTTTGTTTTATGCCAATTTGTCATTGCTATGTCTGTGTCATAGTGATAAGAGTTTATGGGCGAGAGATACCACTGTTTACACGCATTATAACCGACAGCCTTTGACTGATTAGTAGATACCTGGTTGATACCTGGTTGATGGGGTTCTGGGAGTTCTTCTACTCCCCAAGCCTGGCCCGAGGCCAGGCTTGACTTGTGAGAGTTTGGTCCACTAGGCTGCTGCTTGGAGCGGCCCGCAGGCCCACATACCCACCACAGCCCGGTTGGTCCGGCACTCCTTGGAGGAATAAATCTAGTTTCCTCTTTTATATATATATTAGAAGGAACGAATAAGAAACTGCAAAGTTTACGAAAACAGTGTTGAAAATAAAATGTAGAGAAAGAGGAGGGAGGAGAAAGGAAAATCAAAATCCACGTGTAGAGACGAGGATTGGGAGCGGCGCCAACAAGAGATAACACCAAGGAAGCTGATTGTGTTTGTGGCACGCCGGGAAATTGGACATGTGTAAATAACCCTCTTAGAGTTCTTGCCTACGGTTTACCTGGAGCCGGTTCCCAGAGTTCATCTACTCCCCAAGCCCGCCCAGGCTTGTGTTAGAATGTTCTTAAGGGCCGTTGTTTGCAATGGCCGCCCGGCCAACTTTGTAAGAGGTTATTTACATATCTTGTTAACTCATCAAGTAACTCAAAGATCATCAAATTAATACCCATAGCATCAGAATGTAATAGGAAATGTGTGTCTCATTTGGTCAATGTAAAATTGTTGCTAATTTGAAATGACCGCGCGCCCGCGCGCGCGCGCGCGCACACACACACACACACACACACACACACACACACACACACACACACACACACACACACACACACACACACATACACGTACGTACAAATTAGCATGCGAGTACGAAATTATCTGTCTCATAACCTCGTTTTTCTCTCTCTCTCTCTCTCTCTCTCTCTCTCTCTCTCTCTCTCTCTCTCTCTCTCTCTCTCTCTCTCTCTCTCTCTCTCTACTCTCCTCTCGTCCCATCCCAAATCCTAACCTGACCTCTTACAAGTGCTATGTAGTCGAAATGGCTTGGTGCTTTCCCCCTGATACTTCCCTTCCCTCCCTCCCCACCCCCACCCCAGCCTCTCCTCCCCAAACCTTCTCCCTCTGAACCTCTCACTAACCCACTATCTCACCCCATCTCCTTCTCTCTCACCATCTATCTCTTCCTCACTGCACACCCTCACCCTTCACTCACTCTCACGCTCTCCACACCCCGTCTCTCTTTATTCCTCTCCATCCTGTATCATACCTACTTGTCTGCCATATTAATACCCCCACAAGACAACAGAGAAGAGACATGGACGAGGACCCATCAGCGCACAGGTGGGGGATGAGGGGCGGAGTGGACCCCTAGGGGCGGCCTGGCCTGGGATTAAACCGTGGGGAGGAACACTATAACTGATAACATGAACCAAGTAAGGTGCAAGATATTTAGGGAGCTGAAAGAAATGAAGGAAACGATAATAAGGACAAATGGGATCAGAAGCGACAAGGACCCCCCACCTCAGCCACCAGTATGGGAGACAAGCACCGCATCAGGAAGCAAGGAACTAAAGCTTGGATGGACCCTTTACAGGGTACACCTCATTTGCATACATGCTAAAGTGGAACCCACAAGCCCACGTCATCATAATCTACCGTCCTCACAGACACACACACACTAGGTATTTATAAATGACACTCTCACCAAGCTGGGAATATCGTCTAACAAGAGCCCAAACCAGTGCAGCGGGAGGGAGGTACTAGCAACATGCCTACGACCCATCATTAGAGAACGAACCCAATTAGTGAACAACTTTCCCTAAACGGGTTAAAAACTTCGTCTCGGAATGACTATAATGCCACGCTCTCTCGCAAGAATAAAACAAAATGCAGCGTCGAGAAATATAAGCACTGAAATGAAAGCATTATACAAAGCCCGGGAGAGAGAGAGAGTGCAAAAAAAAGATATATTGAAATAGAATAGAAAGAACCCACCTAACTGTTGCTTCTCGCATGCAGTATGCAAGGCAAAAACTCTCACGAACTCAAGCATTGGGGGGACGTTCCATAAAGGAGACGGAGCATTTACTTCCGCAACAAAGGAGCTAAATACCCAATACGACTACTTTTAAAGGTCACACAACCACTCGCATTTCTTCTTCAATTACGATATATAACAGTTTATAGTGATTTTCGTTATATAACAGTTTATGGTGATTCTCGTTATATTAAAATGTGTGGTACAATCACTTTACAGGATGAGCTGCGTTTTTTCACGTGGTATAAATTCCGCGCTTCCGCGATGTTTTTCCCTCCCAAGACAAGCTCCCCCGTGAGGCGTCACTGGTGAGGTACACTTGACTACCAGTCTACCTTATGTTGGCTCCTGGGATCAACTTTCCAGCGACCCGGTCTCTAACCAGGCTTCCTGGTCAACCGGGTTGTTTGAGCACAGCTGCTGGCAGCCAGACGTATGAATCATAGCCTGGATGATCAGGTATCCTTTGGAAGTGATTATCAAGTTCTCTCTAATGTTCTGTCTCAACAGGCATATTGCACCTCTGCTTTTCAACGGGTCTATCTCGCACGTCTGCCATGGGCACAGTTTCTTTAACTCTGATGCTCCTGTTCCCCTAGCAGTAAATAGGTACCTGGGAGTTAAACAGCTGCTACGGGCTGCTTCCTGGGGGTGTGTAACAAAAAGGAGGCCTGGTCGAGGACCGGGCCGCGGGGCCGCTAAGCCCC